CCCCCCCCCCCCTCCGCATTCTCACCAATGGACACTGAACTGAGACTGACAAGGCTCCTCGCTTCTGGGGCGGGGTAGCGACAGGCGGCACCGAGCAGAATTTTGTACAGTAAAACAACTGCAAACTAAGCCCCTGGGGGAGGAGGAGGGCGAAAAGCCCCTCGCCCAATGGTCACACACATCCACATCTCATGTACGGCCACGTGAAAGTTTTGGCGGGAGAGCTGCAAGCTCGGGAACGAAAAAAGCTGGAAGAGTGGAATTTTAAACCAATGTTCCCTTTTCATGTACGACTAAAAAATTTCAAATTCAACTCTTCTAGTGGGGACTTTTTCGCACACCATGAACTTTCTATTTGTCAGGTCAGGTCACTGAAGCCGACATCTAAAACTGACCTGCCACACAGCCGCACAATTAACTTCCTGAACTACAAGGGCCAGCATGTCACAAACTTTAGCTACTGTGATTTTCCGCGATCTTGGTGCAGCTGGAAATAGCACAAAAACGCATGGTCGCATCGGTCGACCTGGTGCGAGTTGTTTTTAGGACTAAAATTCGGCCTTTTAGCGGCCGCAAATTATAATTCTATTACTTCGACTGCTGCTGCATGCGACTAAATCATACTGCGCATCCTGTTGCTGTATGAAAGCCCTCTCGGACAATTTTGCATCAATATATCCAGATAGCTATCTGTCATGCCAGAACATTCTAGAAGGAATGTTGCCCGAAGTCTAGAAGGGTAGACTAGGTTAGATAATTAGGCTCTCGCCCCTACTAACATATATCGGTCACTGTATTGTTGTTATTGTTGTTCAATAAACCTACGCGTGCGGCTGTCGACACACACACTCCAACTCCACACTGGCCCTCGACACTGCTCGACTAAGGTAAGTTATTCCAAAATTATCTTGCCCAAGTTAGGCACACAACAAAATATTAAAAGGGGTCACCACTCTTCTGTGTTGCCAATCTGAGCTGGCCAGTTGTCGACTTTGCTTCTTTCTAATGCAAATCTATTTTGACACTGCACATCCCGGGTTTGGAACCCATTTATAAGTACCGGAAAATGCAAATCCATGCTTCTTCATCATTTCATCAGCTTCTGGTGGACCACGGCTTCCAAACACGTATTCAAGAGGTCTTGGCCGTTCTTTCTCAAACTGTTTCAGCAGCGGAGTAAATATGCGCCATGACTGCTCCAGTTCATCCGTTCTCACAAAATCAATCTGCGAGCCCATAATGACTTCCAGGAAGAGTCGCTCGTAAGCATCAGGAAGACGCACATCCTTGTATCTGCATCCACAGGTGAGATCTAATTCGGTTTCTTCGACTGAGAAGCCCATGCCAGA